AAAAAGAATACAATTTGAACGTTAGGTTAGAATTTATAATATGACAAAGAATTCAATGATTTTCTATTATCTGTTTGCAGGAGGCTTTTGCCATATAAAAAAACAGTTGGCTCCTGCAGCGCTGGCTCTTCCTGATGGCCCACAGCGGCAGCGGTACAGCGCTCTGGCCAAGCTGCTTGCTGCATGCTTATTGGATTCTGACGAGGTTTGTTTTTTTATCCAGAAATAACCAATTGAAAAATCCAGCTGATTCGTACTACAAAAAAAAGAAAATTTGCTCTGGTGGGAGATGACGTAGTCGTCTCCCACTGCGTCCCTTTCTACTGCTTTATCTTACGCGTGCTTCACTAACACACTTACTTAGTTTGCTTTCTTCATTACATACACTAAGTTTTCAGGAGCTACGTAATCAAATTAAAGAAATTTCGGCGAAATTGGATCAATATGACGAATTTATTGGAGAAAATACAAAACGTATTGAACGAAATCACCGTATGTTACGAAGTCTCAATCTACGCATTTATGGTTTCGATTATGCGCAAGCCAAACGAATGGTACAGTTAGAAAATGGATCAGCGATTTGCCAGATCAGTAAACCACACGATCTATTTCTGCGTCTAATTGTTGAAGGATTCCACCAAACCGCAGAAGAGGCCCGATCGCTGCTACTACGATCCATAGACTGGACTGGAAGCGATGACAGGCGTTGCATACTTTTGTTAAGCAAGAAGATAAAGAGAAATTTGATAAATGGGAGCGCGCCTAAGCAAGGAGTTTAAACCCCATGACATTTCAATTGCTATACGCAACGATTTAACAAGAGAGCAATCACTCGTTGCAAAGAGAGCGAGGGAAATCGCTAGCCGACTGAGACAGCGCGGCTTTTATGTACTTGTTGCCGATACCCGTATTGCTGTTGGTGCTCCACCAAACCGCAGGTGGTACAAGGTTAATGATGAGGCGCTAGAGCGCTTAATTCAGTGAATTTATCTGATCCTTCCTTTTTGCTTACTG